TATTTTTCATGAGAGTAAAACCCTCAGGGGTATCTCGGCTGAAAGACCCTGATAAAGATAACAGTCCACGAATCACACAATAGGAAACCCTTTGAATACCCCGGCGGGAGAAAATCTTAAAAAAAAAAATTACTTCAAAAAATATAATAAAATACTATTGCATATATTTTTTTTAATTTATAAATTAGGTCGATTGAAATTAATTTTCTCATATATTTTCCAGGGGATATTTTTTTCTTTTTTTCACGTCGTTGTTCTATCGAGAGATATTCGGCATTGAAGAGTTTCTTTGAAAAATGTTAGAGACTTTTAAATTTGTAACTGAAATATATATATTTTTTCAGTGTGAAGATGGTTTACCTTCATCTCCCGACGTGGAGGAGTCGTCCTGCTCCGAGGACGAGCCCGACGAGTCTCTTTTGTATCTCCTGTAGTCCCGATAATACGGTTCGTACCGATTTTCACGACTGGTATAGTAGTCCCTTTCAACTGATGCAGATCTGTACTCATCCGACATTGTGTATCGTATTCTACGCCTCTCTGGTGATCTCTTGCTGAAGTTCGTGAGCATCGAAGTTCTTCTTCTGATATCGATAACGAAATGAGAATATTCTCGTTGCAGTCATATTGTTTGACAGCTCGACAAGTTCGAAGGATTTAGCAGGTGTCAGACAATTAACAACAGTGTTGCGACAATTATTAGGAAAATCAGATTATCAATTCTGAATGAGAACTACGAAACCTTCAATGAGGTCATCTGCTCGAGCAAATCAACTCAGGACAATATTCTCGTTTCGGGTCTTCCAAAAGGACACATTGATTTCAATTTGCAACAGCAGCCAAAATAAATTCCCCCAGCATCTCATAATGTCAAAGAAAAATGTAATCTAATTAAATCTAATTAAATCTAATTAAATAATTGATAAAATAAGATAACCGCTTTCAGAAGAAACCCGCGAGAGAGTTATACCGTTCATTAAACTGTGGCTTCAAAATTCATGAAGAAAAATTCTTGAATGAGCATTGAAGAAAAATTGAATTGAAATGACTTTGATATAAAAATCGAGTGGCAGCTGTTGCAAATTGAAATCAACGTACTTCCTCTCCTCGTTGGTGTTCCACTTCTTGTTAGTGACTTCCCTCGTGTCCGTATCCACGGTCGTTGTTCCTTTATCCTGCTGGTGCTTTGATGGAGGGTAAGCTGTGTCTCCGATTTGGTTATTGGTACGGTTGACATTTGCCAATTCAACGTTGGCAACAACCTTTGCTTCTTTGGCTGGTGAGGGCGGCGGTGATGTTGGTGGTGATTGGGTGGGACTTCCTGAACGACCAGCACTGTAGCAAACAGCTGCCTTACGGAGTGTCTCCCTGCACAGCTCAGAGAACATTCTGACTCCCCCATGGCCGGTCCTCACGGACCACCTCTTCAACTAATTATGCAGATCTGATCTTCCTTTTCTCGAGATTTTTTCAATCAATCGTCACCACCAGCCAACAGAACGCAGACACTGCAGCATCTCCATCGGCATGATTCCATCATTATCACCATAACCCGAAGGAATCAATCTAGAATCAATCTTGAATCTTCAAAGTCCGTCCGTTATTCATAGCCAGCCCTGAGGTCTGATTACTCTAATTTCTCAAAAAGCTGATGCTTTCCATCCACTCAAACTCAAAGTCTTCAAACACATGAGTCTCCCCCAATCAGTTTCCACCCCTTCCGATTCCTCGGCACTTGTTTACTCCTTCTACAACATCTTCTAGAAGTTTTAGAGAATTTTAGGGAGATCATGCAAAGCTGTTTGACCCAAAGACGGGAAATTAGGGAAGGAAAGCAGAAAAATCCCAACAGGTGAGAAACCTTCACCTCAACAAGCTTTCGCCAACAATGATTCTTCAATTGAACTGATCCCTTATTCACCGAGAACCAATCGAATTAACTACAAGGATCCACTGAATCAGCCGTGGACATTGATTTAAGACACTGAATTAACAGAAAGCAGCCCTTGTGGCTCTGAGGGGTGGAACGAAGGTCATACTCTATCAAAGAAAAGGAAACAGAATCACTGGCCGAGTTCCAAAGTGGATAGTGTCTTGAGGATGTGGGAGAAATGGAATGAACTTTCGTTGAAGGATTCACTATTTGATTTTTTGTATCGAACCATTGCCAATCCACCCTCATTGATTTTCTAACTAATTCCATGTGATTTACTCGACGGAAGTTGAAAGGAAAGATGAGAGAGTTGTGTTGTGCGAGTGGATCGATGATACGACGTGGATTCTGTAGCTTCCACAGAACCTACGACAGTTTATGCCTTTTGGAACTAGCTCAAATTCTCGTCTATCAATTACACCCATTTTTTTCTCCTTCTCGTTTAATTTCCACGATTTTTTAAAACAAAACTGCGGGATTCCGCTGCAGTTGTCGTGCACTTGGCAGACACGCGATTATCCCATTCTCAAAAGTTTGGCGACTGCTACACGCGATAAACCCGATATTTCGTTCACGCTTTCATGTAAAAATCGTATTATCGTTGTTACTTTGTTAATCAGTCAACTCAATGATGTGGAAACTGTCCTCGATTTCATAATTATTCTCCACCCGAAGGAAACGGCAAAACCAAAAATATTTGCACCGAGTGGAAGTATTTACTCTCCTAGAAATTACATGGCGCGTGAATATTTGACTGTTCACGTTTTATTTTCACGAGAATTTCGATCGGATGTACATTATTGTTTTTGAAAAATCGATTTTTTCGACAGAAGAAAATCCTCCCCTCGATGCTAACGAGATCCCGGAGTTTACGACGAGAATGTAATGAGAATAGGATTGTTAAACTCAGGACATTTCATCCTGACGGAGTCGACGGTGTACGACGGAATTTTCCCTGGAATGTCACTCCGCGTTAATATTCCCTATTAAGTCTCTCGTATTAGAGAAATTATGAAATTCTTGGCGTGTGTTCGAGGGAGACTCAGTGTTTGCTCTTTTTTTTTTACTTCAAGTTCCCGCTCCCACGTGGGCTTTTGTGCGAGGGGTTGTGTGTCTGTTTCACCACCTTCTGGTACTGTCCCAGGGGAGTTTTCCCTTTTCCGAATTTTCACGCGGGCAGAAGAATTCCTGAAGGTCAACAGTGCTTACACTTTGATGACGATTTAGGTGATGAACTTGATGATGATCTTGATTTGATGCAGTCTCTCGCTGTTCAAGTGAGTCGATGAACTTTCTGTTTGATCTGTTGTCGATGATTGGAGGTGGAAATTGTCAATATCATCCTCGTGGTTACACCCGTGATTAGGTACATTGATGTGCACCAGGTGTCGACGAAGGACACCGGTCGCTCGCCCGGAGAGAACTGAGCGGAAAGACGGCGCAGAGTCACAGCGACGTTTTACCACCACCGAGTGGCATATCTGAGGGGTGAGGGGGTTGGAAGGACATTCCCTCCTCAGTCTCCCTCCTCGTAGGTTTTGGATCGACGCACGTATCAGGGGTAGTTCGCGATTTTCTATCCTCCAGTGGAATTCATCCCCGACTTTCGATTTTTACTCCTCAGCACGAGGGAGGGAAAAAAGTTGCACAACGCACTTTGAGAATATATTTCATTTTTCAAATAAATCCGTTCGTCTTTGCCACTCCAAATTTCACGGAGAAAAATATTTGATTGAATTTATCCGTGACAGGATCGAAAAGATCAGAAAATATTTTGTTAAATAATTTTGTCAGTGCAGAACAAAAAACATTTTATGGGTGTTTATTGAAGATTTTTTTTTTAGAAAAATGGGGAAAAACTGGTAATGGAGGTTTTTCTGGAAATTCAGGCGCTGTTTGATTTTTGATTCTTCTCCGAAATTAGGAATTTTCAGTGGCTAAATATTTTGGACTCACGGAACTGGAGACAACAATTTTTCGCAGGGCGAAGCAAGAGGGCCACAGGTGATGGGAGGAATTCCTCTGTCGTGGGTTTGTTTCTACATTTCAAACGAATTGCCGGGATATTCGAAGCTCGGTTGAACAGCTGGAGTTGTTCGAACGGAGGTTCATCAACAATTCCTGGTTATTCATGAATTTTTTGAGAACATTTGCATTTTTTCTCGGATCTTTTTGTTCTTCTCCCAGAGGGACGAGAAAATTCTGAATTCCCAGTTATAATGTCCCTTTCAAACTACTGGATTGTTTATTTAATATATTCAACCGATTATAATTGGTAACTCAATTAATAATTTTTTACGTAATTACATCTATAAAAAAATATATTCCCCGGTGGAATTAATCTTATGGATAAAATTCTCCCGGTTGGAATTCGGATGTAAAAATTCCCGTCAGAATGCCACTCAGGCTTCAAAATCAATCAGATATTTTCCAAAAATTCCATTTATAAAAACAAAGTCGTCGAATTTTCCAAAAAAATCTGTTGTACTGAGCTTTTTTTTAATGTGACTTTTTAATCTGAAAGTCTCGACTCCTCCATTGATTTGTTCCGGATAAATCAGATAATTTTCTAGCTCTTGCATATTTGTGCACTTGGGCATCGCCATTTTCTGTTTCTTGTTTTCCCTTCCCCTGGGCTGGGGAACGTTCCGCGATGGCGCTGTTGCATCGATCAGTTGCGTCGCAGCCTCCACTTGGTTTCTTCTCGCGACGAGACACTCTCACTGGGATTTTCACTCTCACCCAGGATGCGCAACGTGTTTCGCATCACAGAGGGATTTTCGGTGGATGAAAATAATTCAGGTTTTGTCACTCAGAATTTTTGGTGGGTGCCACTGACGGCCTTGAAACACGTGCGTTCACCAAAACCTGTCGATTCCACCGCCATCTCTCGAGAGCGTCGGATCACCAAACCCCATGACCTTGAAACTAACTTTGATATGGATTTTTGGCGTAATGAGTCGTTGGAACGTGCATTAATCGCATCTTCACTGTCGAACCGATGATTTTGGGGAATTTATTTAATTGCGGGAATTGTACTGAGAAAAATATATATTTCAGGAAGTGAGATCCGCGAGAGGGCGACGAACCGATCGACACACAGAGAAAGTAACGCAGTGAAATTAAAGTGATATCAAGAAAAAGAAAGAGAAAAGGAAGGCAAGGTGAGAAGAAAAAGAAGGGCGAAACATAAAGGAAAGCGAAAAAGGTAAAGTACGGAAGGAAGAAAGAAGGGGAGAGGAAAGGCTAGGAAAGGAAAAGTGGGAAAAAAAGCAGAGGTTAGAAAGGATGGTGGTGGACGAACATAGGGAGGGGGAGGGGAACGAAGGCTACAACTTGAGAAAGACGGAGGAAAAAAAAGAGACAGAGAAGAACGGCAAAGAAGGGGACGAGCAGAAACAGAAAGCAGCGACAACAACGAGGGCAGGCAGAGGCAGGAAAAAAATAAACACAGAAGATAAAAAAGATCTAGGGAAAGAAGGCTCGGCAACAGGCGGGAAAAAGTTGGAAGACTATTGGACAGAGATAAAAGAAGGAAAGAATAAACTGAGAAATAAGGAAGAAAGTCAGAGAGAGAGCTCGAGTGCACAGGAGGATAGCGAGCAAGAAGAAGAGAAAAAAAGGTCAGAGGCAAAGCTAGAAGAGGAGATGACAGAAAAAGAAAAGGAAAAAAGAAAGGAAAGGGAGATAATGAAGCCGACGTGGACCTTACCAAGGACCCCAGACGGTAGAAAGGACAATGAGAAGAGAAAGGATAGCACAGAGAGAGAAAAAGGGATTGAAGCAGAAAAACAAACACAAAGGGAAGCGGAGAAAGAGGCCGCGAGGAAAACAGACGGAAAGCAAGGGGAAGAACGACCACAGAAGAAACAGAGTGGGGACCAACAGAGTGAGGAAAGGAAGGAAGAATACGCTGAAACGAAAAAGACAGGCCCAGAAAAGAACGAAAAAAGAGGGGAGGAGAGAGAAATGGGAGAACTGAAGGAATGGATGGAAAAATGGGAAAAACGACAAAAGGAAGAGTGGGAAGCAAGAATGGCAGACATAGAGACATTAATTAGAACAGAACTGGGAACAAGAAGAGACAGGGACGAAGAACACGAGAGAAAGAGAGAGGAGATCCAGGAGAGGCAGCTAAGGGACCAGGTCGAAAAACTCCAGGATAAACTGAGAAAGAGCGAGGAAAGAAACGACGAGCTAGAAGGAGGGGTGAGGATGTGGAAGGAAATGGCAGAGGCATGGAGACAAAAAGCTGAGAAAAGAGGAGAGGAGTGGGAAGGCACAAGGAACAGAAGGTGGGCAGAGGAGGTAGAAGAAAACGAAGTAGCTGATAAAAGGAAAATACAAATCACCGACGAAAACTCATCAAGAATAAAAGAAAGAGAAGAGAACAACACAAGGGTCACTGGCGACTGGGGAGTAGGGGGCAAGAAACAACAAGCAGAGCAGAGAAGGCAAAAAGAGAGGGAAGGCCAAGAAAATCAACGGGGAGAGGAATGGAGAATCAGAGGACAGGAAGGGACAAAGGAACCCGACGAGAGGAGGAGAGGAACAGAGGGGAGAGAAAATAGTATAAGCAAGAAGGAAGAAAGAACAAAGGAAGGAAAAGAAAGGCAAGTAACCATAGACAAAAATCCACCCCCGGGAAAAATGACTGAGGAAGAATGGCAAGTGGAACTGGACCTAAGAAGAAGTAAGAGAAAGAACATGATTATTGAGGGACTGACACTGGTAACGAGGACAAGGAAAGAGGAACTAGAAAAGTGGATGATGGAAGTACTCGACCTGAAAGTAAGAATAGAGAAGTTGGACAGAAGGGAGCAAGGGGGATGGCTGGCCAGAGTGGAAGAGGTAGCACACAAAAAGGCAATAATGAAGGAGAAAACAAGGCTGAAAGAAAAACGATGGGGAGTATATATAACGGACGACCTCACAGAGAGACAGAAGGAGATACAAGCATGGATGGAAGGGGAAGTAAGAAACTGGAGAAAGTTACAAAAAGAGGCATGGACGGGATACAACAGCATATGTGTGGAAGGGACATGGCTGGAATGGGACGAGAAGGAAGGAATACTGAAGCAGAGGGAAAAAAGAGAGGAAAGGGCGAGAGAAGGGCCCTTTTAACCAGGAGGCGGGCATAAGCGAGGAGAAGAGAGAGAGGGCAATTAGAATCTGGCACTGGAACGTAGAAAACGCGGTTAATATAGGAAAAAATGAGGAACAATGGAAAAAAATGGACGTGGTGATGTTCCAAGAAACACACCTAGAGGAAAAGGAAATGAGGAAAATGATGGGGAAACTGAACAAGCAGTTCGAGTGGCACGGGAAAGAGGCGACTAGGACAAAGAGAAGAGGCAAGGCAAGCGGAGGATTCCTACTGGGAATTAGAAAAAAACTGGAAGCTGAGTGGAAAGTAGAGCAATGGAAATACGGACTAAAGGTAACAATAAAGGCGAAAACGGGCAGAGACAAATATGCGATAATTAACGCATATAACAACGACAGGAAAAACTTGAACAGGGTGCTGACGGAGATGAACATACTAGTAGAGGAGAAGGAAGGCACGGAAGAGAGGCTGATAATCACAGGGGATCTAAACGCTAGAATAGGAGAGCTACAAGGGATAGCAGAATGTGGAATGGAGGAAGGGACACGAATCGCAGAAAGAAAATCTCAGGATAAAACAACGAGAAGCGAGGGAAGGAGGCTAATAGAATGGTGTGAAGAAAGAGCAATGCTGGTACAAAATGGCAGAGCGAAAGGCGACGAAGAGGGACAACTAACATTCATCGGAGAGGGGGCAGGGTTGGGAAGTGTCCTGGACTATATAATAATCAAAATAGAGGGAGAAGAAACACCAGACTGGTTCAAGGAAATGGAAGTAACAGAACAGGAAGGGTCAGACCACCTCCCTATCATATGCAAAGTGGACTGGAACGTGGAGGAGAGGAGAGAGAAAGAGAAAACAGGCAAGGAAGCACCAAGGATGAAGTGGAAAGAAAGAAGAGAGGAAACATTTAAGGAAAGGTGGAAAGAGAAGTGGCAAGGAAGAGAAGAGAAAGGCGAGAGTACAGAAGAAAGATGGGAAAGGCTAGTGAAAACAACAACGGAGGCAGCACATGAGGCAAAAATGTGGGCATCCAAAGGAAGGGAAGATAGAGCGGCTTGGGACACGGGGGAATACCAGGAGGAGAGACAGAAAATGCTCACAAGCCTGAACAGATTCAGGAAAAAGAGGGACTGGAACTCGAAACAGATGTACAACAGGCAGAAAAAATCCCTGAAGAAAACAAGAGGCAGACTAATCGAAAAATGGATAGAGACAAAACAAGGGGAAGTTGCGGCGAGTAAAACAGTGCAAGAATGGTGGAAGGCGATGAACTGGTTCAGGCAAGGAAAGAAAAAGGACACAAACACAATAACAGAGGAAGACTGGCTGGTACACTTCAAGAAACTACTGGAAGCAGAGGAGAACCAGGAGGGAACAACGAAAGAAACAGCAAAAGGCGAGGAAAGGGGGGAAGAGAAGAGAAGGGAGGAGCAAGAAGGAAACACAGGGAGAGAGAAAGGTGGAGAGATAAAAGAGAGTGAACTGGGGAAAGAAATAACAGACCGGGAAATAGCAACGGTGATAAAGGAGCTCAAAAATGGAAAGGCAGCAGGCGAGGACGGAATTACAGCAGAATTTTGGAAAAACCTACCAGAGGAAGGAAAAAAGGAGCTGGGAATAACAATAAAGGAGATATGGAGGAAAGAGGAGATGATAGACAGATGGAGATTGGCAACAATATACCCGATACACAAGAAAGGGGACCCGAACGAAGCGACGAATTATAGGGGGGTATCACTACTGGACATCGGATATAAAATACTCTCAACAATCATGGCTAGGAGACTGGGGCAGTGGCTAGAAGAAGAAAAGAAACTCTCAGAGGCGCAGGCAGGATTTAGGAGGAACAGGGGGACGATGGAGCAAGTGTTTGTACTAAACACTCTGATCGGAAGCAGGCTGAAAAAGAAGGGAGGGAAACTATACGCAGCATTTATAGACTTCAAGGCAGCATTCGACAAAGTAGATAGAGAGAAACTATGGGGGAAAATGGAGAAAATGGGGATTGGAGGAAGATTCCTGAAAATGACAAAAAAGATATATGAGGAAACTAGGAACAGGGTGATAGCGGGGACAGGGCTAACGGAAGAATTCAGGACAGGGAAAGGAGTCAGGCAAGGATGCCCTCTAAGCCCAATCCTGTTTAATATATTCATTCAGGATCTGGTAGAGAGCTTAGAAGGGAAAATGGAAGGAGGAACGCCAATAGGACCGGGGGCAGGAGTGAAAGTATTTGCACTAATGTACGC